GTTTCCTGTGCAGCAGCTCAGATAGATGCCCTATCGTACTGGGAAGAAACTGAAGTCTTACGGGCCTCTAGGAATCAGACAAGTTAAGCTTCTCACAGCTTTTGACACTCTAAAACAATCTGGTAGCAGTATCTTTTTTTAAAGGTTCCTATGACATAACTCTGTGACTTTTTGGTTAAATACATCTCATCTAAGTAAAATAACCTCCATGTTGCTTCAGTTTCTAAATATCATATAAAGTGGCAAGCAGGAAATAATACTAAAAGTCTTGACCACTCCCTCCAGAAACTGGGCAGTCACGGTTGACATTTCGCTGCTCAGCTTCCCACACCCATCTTTCTGGCTAACAAAAGCCCATTTAGGTGATGGGTAGAGAGTGCTTGAGCTCAAGAAAGATAAGCCCCCACCCAAGTAAAAGGGAGGGATTTGGTATTGGGATTTGGGATTGGGTTTCCCTTGGCCTGGGACTGGTCAAAGAGAGGGCCTGGCCCTTTGCTGGCCAATGAAACAAAAGGAGAGGACTCGGGGAGATTTCCCGAAATCGTTCTTCTGGAAAAGAAACACAGAACTTCACAAGGAGAAGGTTTTTTCCTACCCGATTCTCTTCCATCTTTGAATGTAACCCTGTGAGGACTTAATATTTGAAGCTGGGATAGCCAATGGCAAAAGACGGCAGATAAGGAGAGACAGAATCTGGGTCCTGAATGACAGCATTGCACTATAGAGCCTGGCGTCTCCAGACTGTTTTTTAGGTGATAAAAATCAAACATCAATATTGCCTGAGGCCCTGGGAGACTGGATTCTGCTATTTGCAGCTAAATTCATCTGCTATAACCATCTCCCGCACTGAAACCAACTTGCCAAATTTGCAGCACACCTTCCTGATGTATGAGATGTGATTGTGAATTTTAATGTGTGTCTCTGCCTTAGTGTGAAGATTCATGTTTAAGTGTGACTGTAGGGGTTAATTTGGCTAGAACGGTTTTCTTCCTCTGGTGTTAACCAGTAAAATGAAAAATAACGTGATCCCAATCTCTTCAAAGCTTTCTCTGTTTCAAATACAGGAGTGTGTTTCTGCAAAGTGGGGCGTTTCAGCTAATAGTTCAGTGAAATTATAAAAAAGAAAATCATCACAAGGAAAAAATGGTTTTTTTCTTGTTTTTTTTTTTTTTCTTTTTATTGTGCCTATATGACAAGATGGATGTTAGCTGAACCTATGGTGGTACTTATTTCATAATATATGTAAATCAATCCAGCATGCTGTATGCCTTAAACTTATACAGTGATATACGTCAATTATTTCTCAGTAAAACTGGGAAAACATTCTAAAATAAGAAAACAACTTGAGTCATCTGAATGAATATTGCTTATGTGATTTAGGCATTTATTAAGATGAGATAAAACGCTTTATTTAGATTTACATGATTACTTTGCTTGACGTATTTCCTTGCTGAATAATACATGAACTATGATCTTGAATGTGATAGACACACACCATTCTTTTTTTATTTTTAATAGCTTTCAAAATTTAGATGTTTTTTCCCTCTTTTTTAAAAGGAGAGCACTCCACAGGTAGATTCCTGGAACCCAGCCTCCTTTATCATAAACTCCATTGCAGGAGGAGCTAGATGGAAGCCAACCTTTGTCTGGTAAACCCTAGCTGGCTATGGATTGTGGAGGTATTAGGGCTAGCAAAATATGGTTGAGAAGGATAAGAGGAATTGCCCAAACATGGTGCCAGAAAGAAATTCACACAGACTAGTTGACTTGGATTTCTAAACTATGGGCCTCTAGGGGGACCTGGGTGGCTCAGTTGGTTAAGGGTCTCCCTTTGGCTCAGGCTGGGTTCAAGCCCCATGTTGGGCTCTCTGCTCAGCAGGGAGTCTGCTTCTCCCTCTGCTGTTTGCTCTGCTTGTGCTCTCGCTCTCTGTCAAGTAAATAAATAAAATCTTTAAAAAAATAAAGTATGGGCTGATAACTGTATAAGCAACTAGGTCTTGGGGTCACAGCAATGCCAGAACTTATATCTTTTTCTGAATAAAACCAAACTGGGGTCATACGTTCTTTGTCTAAAATGTTGCCAGCATATTAATTTTGCAGAAGACTCGGTTTTTGTGGAGAATTCCCATTTAAACAAAGCCATGCTAACACAACATAAAATAACCCAAAAGTCACGTACCAAAAAAATGATCCTCTAGGAGTGGCCTGCTCCTTACATCTCATCTCTGGGAAGGTTTACTTCTCTGTTCTTGGTTTGTGTTAAATCATATAACATTTTGCCAAGGGCCACTCCTACCATCCAGAGCCACTGACCCCTCTAACCTGAGTTCACCCGTACAGTGTGGGGATTGTTCTGTCACTCTCTTTCCAGCCTCTTGGCCTAAATGTCCTAGAAGAGGCCGTGGACCCACCACACGTGATGTTCATGTCTCAATGATTCCCGAAGATGCGGCAGTTGCGGCCTGAAAGGAAAATCCCAGCCTTCACCTGATGGTAACACACAGGACCTCCCCACACAGAACCCCCAATGCACACACTAGAAATAAAACCATAACAACCCCAAAAAGCAACCGTGCAGTGATGTAAAAAAGTTCCTTTTCGTGCTTGTCATTCCCTCTGCCTGGAATGCATGTAAAAAGCTTCTTTTCACTGGGTTCAGAATTGTACATCATAACCAACCCTCACTATCTGGACCGTACTCTCTCTCCCCTAAATTTTCTTCCCTAGCCCCTTTCCTCTTCTACTAGTATTCCTCTTTTCCACAGGCAGTTCCACTGTGGACGCCTCTACCCTTTCGACCCTTCTGTCTTTTTCTTTTCTTCCCTTCCTTCCTGCTCGCCTTTTTTCCCCTTCTTTTCCTTCCTTCCTTCCTTCTTCATTCATTCATTTCCTACTATGTGTCAGGTATTGTTCCAGGATCTGAGTGTATAGCAATAAATGAAAAAGAAGATTCCAGATATTGGGAAGTTTGTATCCTGTGGGAAGGGGAAGGAGGGGGAAATATCCCAAAATAATAAGGGAATTTCAGGTCACGACAAGAGCTTTGAAGAGAATCAAACTGGGTAAGTGATAGATGGGCCTGGGGGTCGGGAAGGGGGAAGACTGCTTTAGAGAGGATGGAAAGTCTATTGGAAAGGATTAAAATTGAGGCCTGGATTATAGGAAAGATTCTGCCAAAGGAAAAGTGTTCCATAGAGAGAGGATGGCCATGCAAGGGCCTTGCAGTAAGAGTCAGTGCAGCAAGTCTAAGCAAGTGAGTGCAAGATGGCATGGTTAGAGCCTGGAGGACACACAGAGTGGTAAGAAGACATGAAGTCAGACAGTCTGCAGGGGCAAGATTCCATCCGGCCTGGGAGGTAATGTAGGGGCGCTGAAATTTATTCTAAATGCAGTAGGAAGGCAGGTCCTAGCAAAGTAATGAATTCTCTAGAACAGTGACTATTCATTATTTAGTTCCTATGCATTCTCCATAGGCTGGTCCTATAAAGATTCTGTGACAGTGGGACACACAGGAAGAATTTATTACAGGAGCCGCTGGCTGGCTCCGTCAGTGGAGCATGTGACTCTTGATCTCGGGGTTGTGAGTTTGAGCCCCATGTTGGGTGTAGAGAGTACTTAAAAATAAAATCTTATGGAGTCTGGGACACACGGAACAGGGGACAAATGAGAGATCCTCTGCTTCACTCTACATCTTTGTCTTCCTCTCCCATCTCTCGGATATCCTAAAGCCACCCCATTCCTACATACTTAGGCCATCTGTTCCTTGTTTCTTTTGGATAAAGTCATCATTTGGCTTTGGATTTCCATCTGTTTTTACACCAAATTATTAATAGAGATGCCTCTTTTGAATCAGTTCATTCATCCACATTTGTGTGTAGGATGTTAGGGAAAAGATCAAGAAAATCTGTTAAGATCTAAGCCCAAAATCCCCACTCTTAAGAGTGATGACTCATGAAACCCAAGTCCTGGAGTGAGCTGGAAGCCACTAGCACATTTCCACTGCAGTTCTAATATATTAAGTACTTTTTAATTACATTTTCAATCATCTTTGACATAGCCCCCAAAGGTTTTCTAAATAAAATCCAACCTAAAAACAAAACCAAAAACCAGTGCCAGTTAGTGAACATTTCTTAGCAAATTCATTGTAGTTGAGTTAAAAATATTCAAGTGGTTCATGTGACTTAAAATTAGCCATCTTCATATCATGTATTACTGTAACTCACAATGTAACATAGTGCATATAAAAATCCCATAGTAATCAATTCCAATTAGAATGACTCTCTACCCAAATTAAGTTACCAATTAAATAAGTCCTACCAAATAAGGAGTGTATCCAAGATAAATTAGATTAAGCCTCTCATCATATTAATCTGATTTATATTCTCCAGCTACACAGTTGTATTCTCTCCCTTTTTTCTTTAAACAACAATAAAAAAGAATGTACAATTCAAATGTTTCCACTTAATACAACAAAATCATGGGGCATCTGGGCGGCTCAGTTGGTTAAGCATCTGCTTTCAGCTCAGGTCATGATCCCAGGGTCCTGGGACTGTGCCCCACATTGGGTTCCCTTCTTGACAGGGAGCCTGCCTGTCCTTCTGCCCCTCCCCTTGTTGTGCTCTTGCTCTCTGTCTCACTCTCAAATAAATAAATAAAATATTTTTAAAAATACAACAAAATCAATTACGAATTTTTAAGCAAACAGCCCATAATTGTGAATGGCTACCTTGGGACTCCAAAATGGGGTGTGTGTGTGTTTGTAGTTTTGATACCATTCACATTAGAAAAACCCATCCAGGGGCGCCTGGGTGGCTCAGTGGGATAAAGCCTCTGCCTTGGGTTCAGGTCATGATCCCAGGGTCCTGGGATCGAGCCCTGCATCGGGCTCTCTGCTCAGCAGGGAGCCTGCTTCCCCCCCTCTCTGTCTCTCTGCCTGCCTCTGCCTGCTTGGGATCTCTCTCTGTCAAATAAATAAATAAAATCTTTAAAAAAAAAATTAAAAAAAAAAAAAGAAAAATCCATCCATTGAAATGAGTGAGAATGACAAAAGTCTTCTCAGGATGCCTCAGTGGAACAGGTGCTTTTATTTGAACTGATATGTCTCTGCAAATATACCCAGTCACAATAGGGAACTTCTTAGGCCTGATAATTATTTAAACCCTGAAGGGCGAGCAGGGTCTGTTAGAGACCTTCACCTTCCTGGTGACCAGTGTCCTTTGTAATGAAAAGGGGACTTTAGTTCTCCTCCAGCCCCCTCGCTTAGGATTAAATGAGACTTCAGCTTTGGTGTAAAGCTGTCAGCTGTCCTGATCAAAGACAGCATACAAAAACTGGACTCTAGGAACGAGGGACAAGAGGGAGGGAGATCTGGAAGAGGACAGGAATGAAATAGCAGAACTGAGCCTGCATCTCCCGCAAACGTCCAAAGACAGCAGGCTCTAGTTAAGATCTATGGGGGAAGGCGTCTTCATGGAAACGGGGAGAAATTAGACAAGACCGGGATAGCTTTTGCCATCCTGGGTGAAAAAGTCAAGGAAGAGATATGTGCATGCAGTAGACCACTGAATCTGAAAGAGCACAGATATAACCAGCAATGATTCCCCATCTTCTGCCTGGCTAGCTTGGATGTGACTCTCCTGCTGCTGGGCAAAAAACATTCCCAAGGAGATCCGACTGTTACTGCAACAGGCTCTAATGAGGTGTAGGCCAGGGGTGGTTCTGTTCCCGAACACGGGATGAGCCAGTGACCGGGAGAGGTTGAGTGGAGCAGCGGCATCTGAACATCCTGCCACGTCAGCCAGCAGCTCCGTTCACTTTGGACATTCCTGAGCGACACATGACATCTCACGGTAACAACACACACATGGACCTGTTTGTTCCCCAAGACCAACAGGACAAAGAGTTTCTACCTTGGCAGCTTACAGAGACATTGTTCCGTCCAGGTGACAATCAGATTCTACAAAAGAGACATTGACTACACAGATACTTAGAAAGTGAATGTGGTTAAGGGAAAAGGGCAGGAGCTGGAAGTCAAGGGAAGTAGGTTCCCACCCCAGCTCTGCCGCTGTCCAGACGGGCGAACGTGGGAAGGCTGTTTCACCTCCCTTGGCCTCAGTTTGTCCACCTGCAAAGCATGGTGTGGAACTCCAGGCGCCGTGAGCTACTGTCTCAGTGCTCTCAAGGGGATCTCCGGATGGAAGCTCACTGGAAATTTAAAAAGCCAACGAACATGGCGCTGAAACGACCCGTCAATGCTTCAACTCCCATGTAGACATCCAGCTTCACGAAGGAACTTGTTGGCCTCTGGTTTGATCACTATTGGCAAAGGACAATGAAGTGTCACTTTGGAGGAGAGTAGTTTTCAGACGCTCGTCTTGGAATAAGTTCAAGAGGAGTCTCAGATCATTTCCAGTTGGAACAAACCATTATTTTTGGCTTGGTTGGGGATGGCGCCACGTGACAGCCTACATCTCCTTCACGAATTACAATGACAAGTCAGATTTCATTCTAGCAATTTGGTCCAGAATGGCTGCTCCCCGGGTGGGAGCCCTACACCCTGCGGCACACTTGAAACTACATCACTAATATCTCCATCGAAAATACACTTGAGTGTTATAAGCTTATCACAGAAAAGAAAAATAACTAGTATTTGGCAAGTGCCTTCCATGGGCTAAGCACTTGCTGGGTGTTTTACAAACATTCTGTCTCTTAATCTTCAAGGCAACCTTCAAAGGTAGGTATCACCATCCCTGTTTTATAGGTGAAGAAACTGAGACTCAGAGTGGTCATGCCTTGACCAAGGGCACATCACTGGGACATGGCAGAGATCTGAAATAAGAATTCAGGCCCTTCCGACTTCACAGTCTATGCTTTTGCTTCTCTAACATCACGATACCCAGAAGGAGGGGAAACAAATGAGGGTGAACAGTCAGCCAGCAAAATTCAGAAAAAGGCTACGCTGTTAGTAAAGAGCTCACCCATTTTACATCATTCTGCAACGTCCAATTTTCAAAGAATCAGAATATGATGGAAATATTCAATATGAAATCACTACTGAACATAAGCAATCTGACCTTGATGACCCAGAAGGCGCTTGCAGACCTTGCTGTGTCTCAAAGTTCTCACTAACAATACCGACCATCAGCACACTACAGATGAAAGGAAAAGAAACACCACGTAAGGGAAGTGAGATCGCCTGCCTCCAAGTCGCCAGGCACCGTGACAGCCTTTACCGACCGGCTTTACTACACCAGGTCAAAGAAACAAACGGAACCTGTCAATATGGTCCTGCCTCTTCAGACTTATATTCTAGACATAAATCCGTTCTCATACCCAGTGAGAGAGAAACCAATTCGAAAGTATCTTGCCTTTCACCAAATTCTACCCTTAAAATCCTAAAACGGTCATATCTTTGTGCACAATATTTTTGGCAGTTACGAGCTCTTTCACAAAGCAGAGCTGAGGACGACTGCAGAATACATCTGGTACTGAAGTGCCCCCTGGGGGAGGCAGTGTGGCTCTGTGGAGGGAGAGGGCTCCCGCCGGGGCGAACAACCCCTCCAGCCAGAGCTACCAAAGCCAAGTTTCTTGACAGGTGTGTTCTCGGCCGTCTCAGTGCCTAGATCCCTAACAACATGAAACAACATAATAACTGCAAGCAACCACGTCCAAATAAAGAACTCGATATTGGAATCATCGAGAAGCGGCCACGTTCAGAAAGGCATTTCCTGGCACGCTAGAGCAGACTGGGATGAAAGTTGTACCGAAGGCTGGAGAAGAGCCCAATATGCTTCACGAGGTTGGGCTCCACCACATAGGCCCGCTCCCCCTTGGCCCTCAACAGGGAGTAGAGCGCCATGTCCTTGCCGAAGCCCTTGTGGCAATACACCTGGGACAGGTAGGTGAGGGTCCGGCGGGCCGCAGGGGCTGGGAAGAGCATGGCTGGGGTGCAACACTGGGAGGCAGGGACTACGCTGTACAGGGAAGGACTCAGCCGCCGCAGTTCCAGGAAATAGTGTCGGCCCACGAGTTCCACCAGACCCATGCTATACAGGGAGAAGAAGAGCATGACGGGCCAGCTGAACCCGGGGCGGCTGGCAAACCGCATGTATATCCAGGTTAGCAAGGGCCCCAGCAACATGCCCACGCCGACCCACTCCAGGATCCGCATGGGCTCTGGGTTGACGTAGTGCTGCAGCCTCTCGGGATGGTAGAGCTTCAGATAAAGGGCATCTCGGAGGTGCGGCTCCGAGAAGCGAGCCCGCAGAAGGTGCTCCAAGACCGGGAAGATCTGCTCTTCCGGAACGGCGTCGTCTTCCACCATCAGGACGTAATCTGGGTTATAGGTCTGCAGGGAGGACTCCAGGCAATAGACATAGTCCTGCTTCTCCTTCTCAAACGAGTTGGTCGAAGGGTCATCACCATAATCATCCTCAGTGCCCTCATAGCGGTTGGCCACGGGGACATACTTAGACAGCAGCTTGGCGTCAAAATGGCTCACGCTACGTTCCACGTTGCACAGGAAGAGCTGGTGCCCCTCGCACTGGGGGCCACATTGCTGCAGAAGCCGGTGAAACTGGGACACCACCTGCAAGACATAGTGGAAGCCAGGCTGCCTGTCGACAGTGATGATGGTGATGACCAGCCAGGGGCGGGGGGTGGCCTGCCAGACGATGGGCACCGAGCCATTGGCAGACGGCAGCTCCTCAAAGTAGTGGAGGGCAGCTTCGCCTTCTTTCAAACTTTGCTGCAGGAACTCCTGACTCATTTGGTTCAGGTGCCAGTGGCGTAGATAGAAGTAAGAGTGCAGAAGGCGGTGACAGGCTAGGGGGGCCAGCAAGCCGAATGTCACCACCGTTAAGATCAAGAGCTGGACAGTGGTGCTGCCCCAGGAGAGCCGTCTCAGCCTCCGGAGGAGCATGGCAGCGGGAGGGGCTGATGCACTCATGAGGTCAACTTCTGGTCAGGTCTGGTCCCAAGAACAAACCATCCTGGAATGCAGGCCCAAATCAGCGCAAGTCAAACCTAGAGAGAGACAAGTAGAGGATGGTGAGAGACCTTAAACAAAACAGAACAAAACCCGGGGACAGAACGCAGCACACATCAACCCAGAAATTCTACCTCTAGGCTGTAGCTACTAGAGACTTCCAAGTATTTTCTCTAGAACGCTCTCCTGTGGTTGTGTCAGTTAGTGATCCCCGAGATTCTTTCATTATCTCTGCGAGTGAGGAAATCCTGGTGTATCCAAGCAAGTTGCCACACCCGCAGATGGTAGGTTGGGTTTACAATGTGCCAGGAAGTCACAGGGTAGGCTAGTACAATCCTTATTTCAATGCAGCAGCTACAGACACCTGCCTTCTTAAAACGGATGAAAAAGGAAGACTTGACACAAAGCAAATACACTTTTAAAGTAAATTCCAAAGTTAAATGTGTATTGACGGACTACGAAAACTGTCTCTTCCGCACATCCCAAACAAGAAAAGGACTCTTTAGGATTCTTTGAGATGTCTTTGTCAAGATCTTCCATTCTAATTTCCTAATCTCATACAACTAAAAACTGCACCTTGGGGCACCCGGGTGGTTTAGTCAGTTAAGACAGTTAAGTGTCTCCCTTCAGCTCGGGTCATGATCCTGGGATCCTGGGATCCTGGGATCCTGGGATCCTGGGATCAAGTCCCTTGACGGGTTCTCTACTCAGCGGGGAACCAGCTCCTCCCTCCTCCCCCTGCTCCTGCGTGCTCTCTCTCTCTCTCTCAAATAAATAAAATCTTTTAAAAAAAACCCTGCATCTTAGTTTAATACTGATTGTTCTTCCATTTTATTTTTTATAGCACTACCCCAGGAACCAATATCTTCCATATGCACATGAACTCCAGAACCCCAGACTTGGGAGGGGAGGAAATATCTGAAGAAAGGTCCATGACCAGCTCTGCAATGAGGGAGGGAGGGATAGATAGAAATGAAGATGGAAGAGACGGCTGTGCCCAGCCTGGTCCAGAAAGGATGTTGTAGGCGATGGTGGCTCAGAGTGCAGGCTGGAGGTCAGGCACATGTGACTCCCAACTCAGCGGGTGAAAAGTGACATCGCCTCTCCACAGCTGTGGGGCACCTGGCTGGCTCAGTCAGAAGAGCCGGTGACTCTTGATCTCAGGGTCCTAACTTGGAGCCCCGTGTTGGGCATAGAGATTACTTAAATAAAACTTCTTTTCAAAAGATTTTATTTATTTATTTGCCAGAGAGAGAAAGAGAGAGCACAAGCAGGGGAGCAGCAGGCAGAGGTAAAGGGAGAAGCAGGCTCCCCTGCTGAGCAAGGAGACTGATGTGGGACTTGATCCTGCACGACCTGAGCTGAAGGCAGACACTTAACCAACTGAGCCACTTGGGTGCCTCCAAATAAAATTTAAAAAAATGTATCCATATAGGGGCACCTGATTAGCTCAGATGGTTTAGCATCTGACTCTTGGTTGCAGCTCAGGACATGGTCTCAGGGTTGTGGGATCGAACCCAGCATCGGGCTCCATACTACGGGTCTGCTTGAACTTCTCTCTCACTCTGCCCCTCCCCCCCAACTCACGAACATGCTCTCTCTCACCCTCTCTAAAAAAAATAAACAAATAATATCTTTTTTTTTTTTTAAAGATTTTATTTATTTATTTGAGAGAGAGACAGTGAGAGAGAGCATGAACGAGAAGGTCAGAGGGAGAAGCAGACTCCCCATGGAGCTGGGAGCCCGATGCGGGACTCGATCCCGGAACTCCGGGATCATGACCTGAGCTGAAGGCAGTCGTCCAACCAACTGAGCCACCCAGGCGTCCCTACAAATAATATCTTTTTAAAAAATGTATCTATACAGGGGTGCCTGAGAGGCTCAGTTAGTTAAGCATCTCCTTCGGCTCAGGTCATGATCCTGGGATCAAGCCCTACATCAGGCTCCCTGCTCAGCGGGGAGTCTGCTTCTCCCTCTCTCTCAAATAAATAAATAAAATCTTTAGAAATAAAGAAAAAAAATTTAAAAAATAAAGAAATAAAAAAGTATCCATACAAACTCAAATAATACCTCCTTGGGAGTAAGCAGGCCTAATGATCGGAGGGAAAACAGACTCAGACCGAGAAACAGAATTCAAAGGACAAAGCCAGTATAACAGCGGTAATGTGAATGCAAAACTAAGTGGTGTCTAAAGAACAGAAGGTAAACCCAAACCTCTTATGTCAGAAGCATAAGAAAGTGTGTAGACATTTGGAAGAAACTGCCTAGCTTGTGAGTTATCTTAAAGGAAGGGCTGCCCAGGGACCATATGAGGTTGTGGTGCAGCGTTCCGGGCTGTCATTTCCTCCATGTCCTCCCCTTCTTGGGCACACAGAAAGACCATATTCCCTAGCCCATCTTCTTCCAGGTGGGGTCTGGTGACTAGGACTTGCCAGGAAAATATGAGCAAAGTGGCAGGTGTGACTCCGGGGCCAAAGCGGTTGAGAGCAGATGTGCCTTCCCGCCTTGCTCATTCTCCATTTGCCAACTTTGGTGGGGCGGGTCTGGAGGAGTGTGGAGCCACCAGATGGCAGGAGGCTGAGGTCCTGAATGACTGCATAGAAGAGTGGTGCTTCCCGCTGCTCACCTCCCAGGAGCTTCCCAGTCTAGAGTGGGCTGGTGGGGAGTAATGTGTAATCCACTGTGTCTAGTCTGGACTGGACTTTTTACTGCCCCAATAACCTGTCCAGCCCAGTAGAACCATGTACAATACCACACTTCTCTCTATAGGATGATGACATAATAATTCATCAAAGGTCTCATTTCAGCATCAGCGGCCCATTATACTGTGGGACCCAGAGGTGAGACGGACTACCCCAATACTAGTAAGAGATCTGGCTGGTACCGGAAGGGGGAAATAGCAGGGAGAGGTTTGAAGAGCATGCAACCCCAGGCCCGAGGGTCTGAGGTCGTTCAGAGTACGGTAGATGGGATGTTTCTCCCTGTTGGCTCAGGCCAACGGAGTGAATAAACCACGTGGATGCACATCACTCCTAGCGGAAGCCAAGGACTGAAACTGGATTGAGCTTATATTCCTGGTAAGGAATGGAGTCTTTCAGGTGGCTTCCTCTCACCTTGTTCTCCCTGCGCCTGCTGTCACCCAAGAGAGCTGCACCCACTTGGAAGAAGGAATGAAATACAGTCAGCAAGATAAGGCATGCAGCTTGGAGAATGCCAGGCACACGGTGAACGCAAACATGACAACGTGATGACGATGAGAGTGCAGAGCTCTGTGTTTGGTGCAAAATCCCCACCCACACTCCTTCGACACGATCTTCTAGTGACAGTTTCTGGTAAGGCAAGAATGTGACACTCTTTAGCCCCTATCAGTCCCAGGGGTGGGATGTTTAAGAACTGTGTGTGTGTGTGTGTGTGTGTGTGTGTGTGTGTGTGCACAGTTACCATTTAAAAACATAAATGTGATGCTATCGCTCTCCTGTTTAAAGCCCTTCTTTAGCTTCCCACTGCTTTGGTAATAAAATCCTCATTTCCTATCATCGTCCACGAGACCCTTTATGATCTGGACCTGTGCCCTTCCCTGTCATCTTGTTCGACTGGCCCTTTATCAAGTTACTCAAAATCAGAGGTTGGCAATATTTTTCTGTAAAGGGCTAGAAATATTTTAGAAAATATTTTTTAAAAATTTAATTTTAATTTTAATTTAATTAAAAAATATTTTAGATTTCATGGGCCACATACTGTCTCTATTGCATATTCTTCCTAGACTTTTTCTTCTGTAAAACTCTTTAAAAATATAAAAGCTATTTTTAATGCTCTAGCCACATAAAAACAAGCTGGCCAGCAGCCCATAGCTCACCAATCCCTGTTCTAGACCAGCACTCTCCAATAGAAATACGATGCAAGAGCCACAGAGGTAGTTAAAATTTTCTAGCAGCAACAGTAAAAAAGTAAAAAAGGTAAAAAGTAAAGTAAAAAAGTAAAAAGAAACAGATGAAATTAATTTTAATAATATATTTTAAGTACAATACATCAGAACTATTATTTCAACATGAAACAATATGAAAAATTATTAATGAGGAATTGTATGTCCTTTTTTTAATACTAAGTCTCTAAAATCCAGTGTATGTTTTACATTTACGGCATATCTCAATTCAGACTGGTCACATTTCAAGTAACCAATAGCCACATGACACCAACTAGCAGGGTAGCTCTAGACACACTGATCTTTCCGAACACTGACTATGCTACACTCCTATCCAACTCCTGGCCTTTGCTCTCACAACTCCCACACCCTGCAACAGTTCATTCCCCCACCTTCCCTGCTTCTTCATATTGATAGCTTTTTCTCATCCTTTAATACACTCTCTCCGGCCCATGCAAAGTAGGACCTACGAAACTGGCAATCACATATTTTCCTAATGGGAATTAGCTCTGTAGAATTAATTTGGGAATACCTAAGAAAACCACTAATGACTCAGCAATTCCATTTCTAACATGCCTTCCTAGATATGTATTCTCACGTGTGAGAAATGACTTGCAGCGTCATTTGTAAGAGCAAAATACTGCCAAGTGCTCATCAATTGAGAGTGAGTCCAATAAATTATGATCCATCCAAAGACAGGAATACAAAGTACCCATTAAAAGCAAGCAAACTTGGAAGAGACCAAGATGGCAACATAGAAGGCTCCTGAACTTCTCTTCTCCCAGGGATGCATCAAATGTACAGCTACACCATGAGAAGTTGCCTGAGAGAAATCCAGAACCTAGCTGAGGAACCTCTACACATAAGGGAATGAGATAATACCCACGTTGAAACATGTAGGAAAGAAAGGCTGAGACACACTCCAGCCATAAACCCCACCCCAATACAGTGTCCTACAACCGGGGTGGGTTCCCAAAAGATCTAGCTGTGAATGCCACTGGGGCTTGCATCCATGAGACCAATAGGACCACAGCAAACAAAGAAGGTGTTCTTTGTGGGTACATGAACACTTCCCAACTCTATCCCCTCCGGGCCCAGCATGCTGGGAGCAGGCAA